AGACTGGACTGAAGTACAGACCGCGCAGGGCTGTACAGTACAGCAGGTCGAAGGGGGCTGTAGTGTGCAGCAGCCTGCTGGCGACAAGCCGTTGCAACAGCAACACGGTGAGCCACAACAGCAGCATGATGGTCGACAACAGCAGCATGATGGCTGGCAACAACAGCAGCATGATGGCTGGCAACAACAGCAGCATCTAAAACGAAATTTGAGGTGGATGGGGTTGCGCAGCTTTTTCTTGGATTTCGTTTTATCAAGTAAGCTTTTTTTTAAACAGTCTTTTGAGATACCAACCTTCTGCTTCTATTTAAATCGTTAGCGGTCATGTTGCTGAAGGTTGTAGCATTAGAAATTGGATCTTCTGGAATAGTCGTTATAATCAACTTTTGGTTTGGCTGTTGGCCGACAGGAGCGCTCTGAAAGTGACACTCTTACACTTTATCTATTTTTAAAGCTTTGTTTCATGCAGTCAGTGTCAGAGTTTTTGTGTTTGACGAGATACAACTGAAGAAAACAGGGAGAAGGATTTCATATAAGTCGTGGCTTCTTTAAGATAATTTCACATATAAAGATAAACGACAATAGAGAGTATTACGTAAACTTGTGAAGGAAATTACCTTAGTTATGCCAGTTATCACCAGTAGAAATAAAACGTTTAAAAAACGTATATTTCTCATTGTTGGTGCTGTAAAGAGATGTCGTCAATCTGTAATATTCGTAACTTTTTTTGCTTTTATAAGTTTGCTGGGTGGAGAATCCGGAACGGAAACAGTGAGCGACAGAGGCTTGTTGGAGCTGTCAAATGTTTGGTCAAACTTCTGTCGTTAATGTCTTTTCTTTGCAGGAAACGTTTGCTGTACCTAAATCAGGATTATTCTGTCTGGTTGCGTTAAAGAGAAATTCATTTTTTAAATTTGTCATCTCAGTTATGTTTCTTGTACTTTTAAAATGAAGTGGTGCAGACGTTTATGAAAGGCGTGTCACAAATTTAACTAGAGGTAGGTGTTTTTGGATGCTTTCATCTCTTCTCCAGTTATCTTACATTATGTCTGTTTTTTTTGTTGCTTACCAAGTTCTCCACCAACTAGTTAAGTGACAGTTTGTTGTGTAGCCTATTGTACTTATTTAAGCAGGTTAGGGCAGCTTTGTTAAGTTCCACATTTGTTTTGAAACATTAAAAACTTTTCACTTTGTCAGAAGCCAGCGTTAGCAGACCGCTAGGGAGAACCCAAGATAGATACGTGCGAAACTGCGAGGAATAAGGATGTCGAAAAGGATGTTGTTGGTAGATCCTGTCACAAGCTTCAATCGTATTCAGACCACCACGTCATATCGACTCTTTTCGACTGATATTAAGTTTCACGTTGATTAGCTGATGATGGTTTGATTGGTTATGACAAGATGAAAACTACCGTCAGTCTTTCAATAAAAGTTGAAAATTTTTTTCAAGCTTTACAAGTTTAGTCTTTGTTTCTTGTGGTTTTTTTTACTTCAAATACTTGCTTCTGAAAGTAAATCTTTCCTGCCAAAGTCATCTAAGTGGCATCAAACCTCGCCATGAGCGATAAATAATAATCTTTTTCATTTATAGATATGGCTGTAGAACTTTACTCCGAATTTAGTTATTACCACAGTATTGTGTTTTTTTCTTACTCAAGAAATAAAAGGTTTTGCTTACACGTTAAGTTCATGAATTTTTCGACATAGAATTTTTTGCTTGACTCTTAAGTTTTTCTTTTGGCCCAAAACCTTCTGGTCTCTGTAATGAAATTGGTAGGAAGAACTGCTTAACCATTGCTGACGGCATTTATTCCTTACACATATGGAAACGTTCTTTACACTTTATCTAAAATTTTTTGTTTTGCTTTGAATTTTAGACTTATTGTAAAGGCTCAGCAATATTTTTTAGTAACTAATATTGGTTACATTTTTCTATTTGGTTACATTTTTCTCAAATACTGCACCAGTTATATCGGCTAACACTCTGAAGCGGTAACAAACTCAAATCTCCGGATTTTGTTAATTCTTTCATTTTTTTTTAGTTCTGTTGATTCCCTTATTTGAGGAAAGGCATTATTCTAATTCTTCTAGTAAGCTAAAAATTATTAATTTGGATTTTATTTTTAAGAATAAACAGACAAACAAATAAATAAATAGATAGATTTGAGAATAAAGCACGAAAAAAAGGCTTTGGAAAGTGTGAAAACCGTAGAAATTATGTGTTATCAGTGCTGCATTCTCAGCGCTGAAACAGTCGCAACTTTAAATGAAAAAGCGTTTTTTTTTTT